TGCCTCTCCATTATTACAGAAGCAACTAAAACTAAAAGTGTTGTAGACGGAATGCTTTATTAGCATGCGCATTATGCTATTCTAACCACTTTTACATACACTATGCACATTATCTTGAAAATGCCATCATATGCAAGGATTTTTAATTTCGAGATATTCATTTATTTCATGGTAGTGACTTCTTTATACTTATATGAGTGGGGCATTTTGTGAAAATTAGGGACTCCAAACCAATTATTACTTTCTATCTTGCAGGGTGATATATGACCAGTTCCACCTGAAAGTTTTGGCTTGGTTGATAATATGCAACAAGGATTTAAATATGTAATGCAAATATCGAAAAAGTTTTCCGCTAAAAGCAACACTTTTTGATGTAGTTGCACCCTGTGAGCTGGATGGTTTAGTCACGGAGCTTTCATTGTCTTACTAGACAACATCCTCAGCGAATACTTCAATTTGAAATAGGCTCCTAAAATCCTCCATGAGTTAGACATCTTTCCTAGTAACCTTGAAAGTGATTGGTTGTTTTTGTGAATTTTCTCACCCTCTAATCTGTTACTATTGGTGTTGGTTGTTTCTTTGACCTGAAAGTTGACCTTTTGTTCTTGTGATTCCCTTCTTATGGATTGACAAATCTTTTCTGTGTGTCTGCTGATTGCCAATTAACTTGAAAACCAGGCTCTAGAAATTCTCTGACTCTTTTGGTTTTACCTGCCTAAGATCTGAACATCATCCTAATCAATCTGGTTTGCTCACTTGTCTGTATGCACTAATTTGAGGGAATGGATATCGTGTCTTTTAATGGCTTGTTTATTTTCATGGATGTGAAGAGGAAGAGGACGTCCACTTTAAAATATGTAGTGTCCCTCACAGTCATTGCACTTTATCTTGTAGATGATATTAGTTTATGTCTTTCGCTGTTGTCTTTAGGTTCACATAAAGCCGATGAAACAGTCAACACCAATAGTAACAGATTAGGGGTGAGAAAATTCACAAAAAACAACCAATCACTTTCAAGGTTACTTAGAAAGATGACTAATAAACCCGTGGAGAATTTTAAGAGCCCATTTCAAAATGAAGTATTCGCTGAGGATGTTGTCTAGTAAGACAATGAAAGCTTCGTAACTACACCATCCAACTCAGAGATAACACCTGAGCTTCAAATCTTCTCCATTAAATCTAAAACCAACACTATTAATCAGCTCCAAATATAATGAAACAGAAGAGAATCATATTTTAACGCACAAGACTTAACGAAATGTAACGTAAAAGGTGACAGCGAAAAAATATGGTATCACCAGAGTAGACTAATCGATCAAATTAAAGTGCTAGTTTTGCAGTTTGAATAACCTCCACCATCCATTTCATTACATAGTCACTCTAGTTTACGTCCTTTGTGTTTGCTGTCAAATTTGAAACTAGTTGTCCTTCTGATTCACTCTTGATTTTCAACCTGGATATTCATAAACTTCTCAATATTATTCACCAAAATAATATTGACTAATTAAAGATGTAATCTACATTCTAACCGATCACTCAACTGTAACTTTCATGTAAATGAAGCTAACAGATATGTTTAGGTGAGTAAATTCGAGACCTAGATGGAATGCGCCTTTCATTATAATTGTTCTTTCACTAATAGATACATTACTCTCATTACTATTACATTTATAGACTTGAATAATTCGTTTTTGTTATTTAACAGGGAAGAATTACCTTACTTAACATAAATTTTGCTTTGTGTAATATCTGAAGTTAGTAATTTCCCCTGAACCGTGGATGCATGTATGGTACCGGTTAATTATCATTTGATCCTTTTCTTTTGTTTGTGAAAGTTTTCCCCTTCCATTAATTTTTGAGATATTTGTTTTAAATACCAGTCAAAAATTTTATCTCTTATTTCATTATCATTTAACTGTGACTAAACTTGGGGTGCGTTATACATTTAAAATTAAAAAGCTGTATATGAAATTAATCTAAAGCATGTATTGTGACATTTGAATGAAACGATATTATAGTCACTGTGAGATTAAGTTCAGCAAACATCTTTTGACAAGAAATCTTCGCTTTCAGATTTGTGTGCTCGTATTCAATGCCATCCATATGCACAGTGCAAAGATGGACAGTGTTATTGTTCTCATGGCTATGTTGGTGATGGGTATTATGACTGCCATATTAGAGGTAAGGTTTATGAATGTTGACAACATGAAATGTTATAACATTATAACACGTATGTGTGGTATAGACAAAATAAATCCGAATAGAATCATTTTAAATATTTTTTAAGTAGGTAAAGTATTAACAATGTTAACATTTGCTAGTGTGAATCACTGAACAAACAAGGTACACTGTAATTGCCAACACGCATCGGTGGCACAGCGGTTAGGACTCTCGCCGACCATGCACGTGGTCCGGGGTTCGATCCCTTGCTAACGCACACCTCATATCTATGGTCGGCCTGCAAAATTTGGGCTACCGATATCACATGCTGAAAATCTCATACCTGTATCAAAAATACATGGAATCAAGCTATAATCAAAAAAATATTTTTGTAACTGTCTCTTGAATTTGTGAGACAATACAAATATAATGTAAGCAATTCCACTCGTTTATTAACCCCTTTAATTTGGTAGTATTTCTTTCTCTAGACCGAATAGGAGCTCCTACGGCGTGTAATTTATAACTTTTTTTGCTTCCATCATGATATTCTTACCTGTTCTGTAGGAGAATTTAGGTTGCAGACTTCTTTTTTTTCAAAATCCGTCTACACACTACTGGATAGTGACTTATGTGATGCAATCCAATCCAATAACCACGACTTTGGGCACTAAACCATTATGAGTTACTTCAACCATTTCTTGTGTAACGGGTAAAATTTATTATCAGCTGAAGTCCACAGATTCTACATAAAGCCACAAGTAAAGAAACCCTATTATAGTGTCTATTATCGTTAACAAAAAGAAACAGCCTAAGCTTACCTTAGTAAAAAGTAAGAGATAACAATTCTTTTAAGCCAGGAGAATTGACAGTATCGAACTAAGAATGATTTACTCACAACAAACGATTTGCAGCTAAATTGAACTTATGCGTATTTTTGTGAAGCTGATTAACAAACAGGATGTGTTTCTCCAGTAATATCACTGTTCTACTGTAATGATGGTTTTGTATACAAAGAAGAGTCCAAAATTCTTTATACTATTTGCTATTATTTGTCTTAATATGTTCATTGTGTGTGTTAACTCCTAGTAGACCTTAGAAAGACAAGTAGAATAGCTGTGTAAGTTAAAACTGTTAGTCATTTTACTAAGATAATCTTTAATAGGATTTACTGGTAATTAGCAGTCAGTAAAACACTCCTGTTACATGTACATATTGGAAGAAGCGATGAAGAGACGTGTTTTGTCCTTTTATAACTGACAAAGAAATTATGCAACGCCTAGAAATATTTTCTATCGGTATCACTCTCTGAAATACAGGAAATAAGTTGGCGGACTTAAATAAGTTGTTTAAATAAAAGACGAAACGATTAACCACAAGAGATAGTTGTACTGAGTATTCATATTCTTCTAACTGAAAAGATCAGGTGATCATTAACAATGCTAACCAGTAGCTTATTTTAGACTCGTTGAAACTGTCTGAAAATTTCACGGTCATTTCACCTCTTTATTGCTCCAGTTCATCCTTAATAATAGCCCGTAGAACACTCCATAAGAAGCTTATGATCATAGCATTCATTAGACTGTCATTTAAAATGCAAACATATCTCAATTTCTGAAGAAACTAAGGCTCAACCACCCTATGGACTAAGGATCCTGTAAACACATACTTTGCATTAAGTATTACTGAACACAATAAAATCGGTAAGTACTTAAAAAGAATTCGTCTTCATGTGGTGTGTCGGTGGCACAGTGGTCGAGAATCTCGCCGACCATGCACATGGTCCGGGGTTCGAAACCTGCCGACGCCCACCTGGTATCAATGGTCGGCCTGCAAAATTTGGGCTACCTATATCACATCCTGAAAATTCCATACTTGTACCAAAAATACGGTGTGGAATCAAGCTTTATTTAAAAATAAAAAAAAGCATCACTATTTAGCCATAATGACCGTTCGAAATGGTTTGTTAGTTTATTCTATTTTTGTTGTATTCTGATTTAAATAATTAATTTGGTACATTTCGTTACTTTGATGACTTTCAACAAACGAAAGCAGTTGTTAATATGCGACAATGTTTTTCGCACTCATGGGTTCTCGTCAAGTGTGGACGCCGTTTTTATTTTTTTAATTTCAAGCGGTCCGCAGCTGATGAGAACCTATAAGATAAAATAATTAAATTGAAGAAATAGATATTCTTGCTTGCATTCTTTGATTTATCTCGTTCAATAGATGTAGTATTTGCATCACATCTCGTTATAATATACTTTTTAAAATTGTTTGTTCGAAAAGCGACTAGAAATTTTATCAGTGAAACTAAAATACAGTATTCCTTTTTGTACAGTTCAATGAGAATAAAATTCCAATGGGCTTTTTTAATCACATATTTTACAAAGACAGTAAATACAAATTTTAGGGGAAAGTGAATGTTTTTCCTCGCATGAAAAATGTTGGAGACGTCCTCATACGTAAAAATAGATAAGTACTGTTACAACCCAAGTGGTTTGCCTTCTGTTTTTGTGAAATGTCAACTTTTATGTTCCTAACTCGTAATATTGTTGTAGAAAAACTTTTCTTTTCCTGATATACTTTTTGGTCAAAGCTATATATGACTTTCTTTTGTATTAAGCCAACAGCTTGTTAAAACAATATAGATACTGTTTGAAACAGAAGACGTACGAAAAGTCATTGTAGTTCGAAATTCGGTGAACTTGAATACGTGAGAAAAAATGCATAAGGAACTATAAAACAATCATCAAACAAAAGATTAAAATTTCTAAAATCCACAGAAATAAGAAACCAGTTGTTTTTAATTACTTATTAAAACGTAACAAACTTCATTTTAGATCCCTGTACGGGCGTCAAATGCCATGATTACGGGGAGTGCATAAGTGGAAGATGTTACTGCATGAAAGGATTCGAAGGCGATGGATATTATGACTGTACACAAACAGTTAATGGTAAGAATATTCAGCATGCATATCCAAATTTAAATATTCGTACTGCAGTACATAAATTTATTGGTGAATGCTATTACACCAGTTGCAAACCTGAATTTAATATCTACCGAAAGAAGGATTTTAAAACTAATATTTAGAGGTAATTTATGTAAACAGTCTTCAGGATGAGGGTATGAGACAGATCAAATATTTATCTTTTCACTAGTTGATGTACAACATAAGTGAAGCAGTCAGAAGACTAGCTATTGCATCTTAGCGTTACATACCACTATGTCGAGTTGAGAGTTAAAGACAAGATAAACTCATGAACACTTATAGAAAAGCAACGAAGCGAATTTATTTAGTAACGTGTTTTAATTATTGTCTATAATACAAAAACGCCGGCGTAAGCCGAATAACCAATGGATTATATGTGTATATAATGCACGTTATAGTAAAACGTAGCTGAGGGATGCTGTGAATGGTTGTAGTTCACGAGTAATGTATCTGAAAAACATTCATATGAATCAGATGTTTAGATTAATGCCATAGAAGTGTCCGGAAAATAAGGAAGGTTGAGCGTTAGGCCAGCAACTCTGTAGAAGAACACAACTTATGCTTAAAGTTCAAAGCTTATTGACCCACATTCCATTTAGAACTCAAGGAATAGAAAAATAGAATCATCTGATAAAATTATTCGACTTGTCACAGCTACTGTTATTTATGCTATTTACAGCTTTCCATTGAAGAAGCCGGACAAATCTATATTCGTTAGGTTACAAATGTTAACCGGTAAAAGTAACATGACTTTATATCACCCCGCACACACACACATACACACACTTGATTTCTGGACTTTATTCATACCTCTAGATCTGTGTTCGAATATTCGGTGTCACTCTTATGGTTATTGCCGGGATGGACGTTGTTTGTGTTCGGAAGGTTTCGAAGGCGACGGTTATTACGACTGCCACCCAGCAAATAACGGTGAGACCGATACAATTTCAGCATGTATCTGGCATACTTTACTAATAAACTCAGCATGAATATGCAAGCTTATATCTCCCTTCATTCATTTCTTTTATAGAAATGAATATCTTCTAGTCCTAAATTAATTACTCATTTTTGAGCAGCATGTGCAAGATTTATCACACATTCTTTAGTCATATTTTTCAAAACTGCTGTATAATTTTTGTTCATACATGAATTAAGTGGCGTGAAATACCCATTCATCAAACAGACATTTGACAGCATACTTCACAAGGATGCTCCTGCACCCTACCATGACAGTTAAACCGAATGTAGAATATTCACTGCATGATACTGCATGTAACAGAATTTTACACGACAAATAATAAAACTGTTAACCTTATTTACAGATACTTGTTCAGGTGTACAGTGTCATTCGAAAGCTGAATGTCAAAATGGTCACTGTCGTTGCCTGAACGGTTATGAAGGGGATGGTTTCAGATACTGTTATGAGATGCAAGACGGTAAGAATAGTAAAAGGGACTCAGGAAGAGTTTCCTTGATACTTCTTTAATTCATAAATAATCTATAATATGAAAAACTTGCAAAAGGAATACATCAACAGATCCTATATATATATATATATATATATATATATATATATATATATATATATATATATATATATATATATATATATATATATATATATATATATATATATATATATATATATATATATATATATATTTAAGGACAGTGGGTGACAGAAATAAAAGCTGAAGCTCCCACAGGACGTAAACATTAGTCTCCCTCGTAAAAGATGGTTAGTGAAACCCGTACCTGTGATGCATGCTGTTTGTGAAGATACGACAGTATATTATGACTCTGACATAATATCACTTTTTACCCTTCTGGGGAGTCCTCTCCACAGCCACATATTTTGTTGTTGCTGAATTCAAGGTATAACTTACTCCATCATTTTCTGTGATAGATACATCCTTATATGTTCCTATCTAGATTTTTCTGAGTTCAAATACGAAGGAGATCAATATTCAACTTAACTGGTTTCTCATTCTCGTCCAAAGATCAATTCGAATGCTGTTAATCCATGTGAAAGTTATGAGATCTAAGTTTAACGATATAATATAGTGCTTGGTTGGCGCATCTGTAAGGAGGACACTAGAACTCTTTTTTAGCTGGTATTGTTGCCCTAGGAAGAGAAGCATACGACATATAATATACAAGACAGAAACCAAAAGAATATGATTCATGCGATTCAACGAATCACGGATGTCTATAGCACAAAGAAACATGTAGTAGGATGTATCTTAGCCTTCAAGTCACAAAGACAGGCTGAATAAAATTTAATCCAGAGGCTCGAAAAGTTTGATTCTGAGTGATAAATTTGAACCACATCAGTAATACAAAGAGACTTTATAGGGCATGACTTGAAAAATGATGAAATATCTGAAAAAAAATTTACAAATTCAATGCTTCACAGAAAGGTCACAGTGGTCGTTCCTCATCATCCAAACTGCTTGTTTTAACAAGTTACTAGTCCCCCTTGATCTTTACTTGAAGCTTTATACACCCGTTTACTTCTAATCACACCTGCAAGTACATCAAATGCAGGCGAGGAATGTATATCTGAATATGTTTTGAGGAATTCGCGAATGCAAGATATGTATTTTTATCCAAAGTTCAATTAATTCTCACATATTAGTCAGTGATTATGAAAATGACATCTAAGATTTACTCGTGGTGGATAATTAAAGCAAATATATACTCATATTTACTTCATTTAACTAAAGTAGACACAACAGACACTATTTTTTAAACATCATAAATACTGATGCAAAAATGAAACTTTCTTGATATGTGACAACATAATAAGAATTCCTGATTCTTCCTATCACTTATATCCTGAATCGGTAATGTTTACATTTTCTTACCACTTATAAGAAGTGCAAAGAGGAGATACTGATTATTTCTTTTTAGCAAGAAACGAAACAACACAAAACCGTTAGATGTAAAGAATATTTAATGCCGTCTATACAACCAAATAACTAAAACTGAGTAGTAAGTATTGAAGATATACAAAGAACTTAAATGTAATCACCTGGGTTTCAAACTCGAAAAAATACAGAATATGATTAGCAGTTTCCCAGGAAGTTAATCATTTAACATGCCTAATATACCCTATGCAATATGGTTATTTACTTTCAGACCCGTGTTCTGGTGTAAGATGTCATGAAAACGCCGAGTGCATTCAAGGTGAATGCCGTTGTATGAGTGGTTACCAAGGAGATGGAAGACGTTACTGTGATCCTGTTCAACAGGGTAAATGCAAATGTTAACCAGTTAATCATTCCTCTTTTAAAAAAGCATGTTGCATGCGAAAGAATTGAATGCAATCCTTTGAGATGAAGGATTTACCCTCCTATTTTGCTTCACCTGACAAGTGTGTGTTAGTCTAATAAAAACCTAACCAAAATGACTAGTTTCTCACCTTCGGAGAACATTGCATTCACCATTCCACATAACATATTCATCGTAAATTAACATTTTGCCGAATTCCTATGAATTCTGACAACACTGAGTCACATTATTTGCTGCTTTAAAAATGTGAAACTATATCATGGTTTGTCATGATGAGATTTATTAAGTTCATCGAAAATTCAGCTTTCTTAATGTGTAGGTAATATTAATATCTAGTACGAATTTATATATATATATATATATATATATATATATATGGCACAGTGGTTAGGACTGTCGCCGACCATGCACATGGTCCAAGGTTCGAGCCTACACCGACGCACACCTGATATCTATGGTCGGCCTGCAAAATTTGGGCTACCGATATCCATGCTGTAAATTCCATACTTGTACCAAAAATATGGCGTGGAGTCAAGCTGTAATAAAAAATACACAACTGTACATTACACAAGACCAGCCTTTTGGAAACAAGAGGTTGTTTTCTCAATTCAACTACCTATACTTCATTTCAAGAAGCCAAATGGAAACCCATCAATTTATTTACACTTAGAGAAAAATTAATCTCGTTACACGAACACTTAAAATTCCAAAACACCATCTGAAGTTTTGTACAAATCTGTATGGAAGATGGAAGAGTAAATTTCGATGTATGCGATTTATGTATCTATATAGATTTCAGAGTTAGATTTTCCGTAAGACAATGTATTCGAAAACCTCACCTTCTGTTTTTATCAAAATTCGTTGACATTTTTTGATTAAAATAGTGTTTATGTGGATAGCAGGTGACGTTTTAGGCTTTCTGCAGGTTTAAGACAAACGAAAGTTGATAATAAAGCAGGATTTTATAAACTCATCAATTTTTAGTAGTACAACCCGGATTCTCTACACACAGTGTTATATATACTACCAGAAATACATGATAAGATATATGACTAAAAATCGAACTGTAATAAATCAAACTAAAGTCAAACCCAGATAGATAGGAGGTGAAAGAATATGAGAAACAGAAACTTAACACTATGATGGATTACAGTTCAGTTGTGTTACTGTGGTAAGCAACTAGTTATCTACAACAACAACTCAAAAAGAAACATAGTGATCAAAATACTCTCAGAAATGTGAAAATCTGTTGGTTCGCAAATCCTGAAATGACACAGCTGTGGCAAAATGCACACAATTTAGAATCTCTTTTATGACCAATTATCTCAAGGATGAATTTGTTATATCATAAATGGGTCTAGTTTCTATGATAATTGCTGTAGTCTCTACGATAACGTTTAAGAACCATACATTGTCTCTCCCTGCTCCTGGTTTATCAGTAAGTTACGGGTAAACATCATGTTTTATTTTATGTTACTTGTCTTTTGACAAATAGGACAGTTATTTAAACCATCGACTTCATGTATAAAGAGGCTAATCATATACCTCTTCCAATAGCAGAGTCAAGAAAGTACTAAAGATATTCCGTTTCAATATGACGGCTATTTATTAAGTCAGGTTAATGGTGTTGCGATGGTAAGCCTATTTAAGCCATATTTTGAAGACTTGTT